AGTAGAAGGATACCCTTTCTCAAGAATAACAAGGCCCTGACTCAAAATAAATAAAAAAATGTAAAGACAGGCACAGTGGCACACCCCTGCAATTTGAGCACTGGGGAGGTGAAGATAGGATCAGAAGTTCAAGACCACCTTTGACTACATAGAAAGTTTGAGATCAGTCAGCACTACATGAGAACTTTTCTCAAAATAAAAAACCAAAATGAACAACAATGAAAAAAAAAAGTATCCCAAAAGTATTGAAAACTACCATAACCTCGGGAAGGAATTTTCTCTAATGCAGGGTTCTTAAAATGCGGTCTCTAAAACAGCAGCCTTCATATTACCTGGGTGGTTGTAGAACCGCAGACACTAGCATGCTGGGCTGAGTCCTCTAAAGGCACTGGGGTTTGAGAGTCATTGGTGGCACTCACACAGATGAGCAGGTGCTTGCATGAGTTGGACTTTGTAGGCTTGTGAGAACCTAGGGCGGTCGCTTTCTTACTGAAAGCTGAAGATACCCAGGGAAGGTGGCAGCTGCCCTATGTGTACTCTGAGTAAGCTTGTTTTAGCCTTTGTTTTTGGATGCTGGGTCTCTGCCCTTTCCAAAGAAGCAATGAACCAGACTAGACAGTTTCATTGGCATAAGATCCCACTTTAGTTCAGAGACATATCTGCATAAATATTTGAAATGGGGTCCACCCCAGCAGGCGGCAGCCTGAGAACAAGTGGCTCTCTTGAACCCTGTATGGACACCACCACCCTTTAGACACTGGCTTTTAACACTGAAGATATTCATTTCTGAAGATAACTCGGAGCTTGCTTTGACATCACCAATAACGCCTGGCCTCATACCTCTCATATACTGACTTCCCCCTCACTGTGAGGTAGATTGATTATTGGGGAAACCAAATAGAAAAAAAAATTCTTCTTTTTCACTTAACTTTGCCAAGTCCTTTGCAAAAAGGTTGGCTCTGAAGTCTCCCATTTGGATCAATAAGTGCACTTTTATCTTTTAACTTATACCCTCTACTTGAACCTAAGCAAGGTCCAGTCCACTGGACAGTCAACTCCAGGATCTGTTACCCTCGTACCCTCTTCTCCTCTTCCTTATGAATTAGGCAGTACCCAAAGGGCTGTAGTAACAGGAGGCCTGGAAGGGCCAAGCCATCTTGATAATATCACCTCAGAGGGGACCCTTGTCTATATACCCCAGTAGCCCAAGTCCATGAGCCTAAGACATTTCCACCAAGGGGATCAGAGGGGACATGGCTGGCTTCCACAGGGCTTGACATCTTCAGGTTTCAGAGCCTCATCACAGGTGTCAGAGGCCTGACCCGAGGGGTCTCTGCATTCCACAGTCCGCCGAAGCCAGCTTCCTCCACAAGTGCTAGGACACTCAGACCAGTCCCCCAGCACCCACTCTGCATGGGGCAGTGACTGGATGATGTTGGTGGTCGCTCTTTCTTTGCTATTCTGCGTGCTGAAGTCCATGTCATTGGGGACAAAGAAGGTGTACCTGAGTTTTGGGGGAAAGACCTCACCAGACACAGTCAGGAGCTGTACTGTGAGAGGCTCAGGTAGGGCCTGGAAGCTCTGCAGCCTCTCCAGGGTAGCCATGGAGCCACTGTACTTTAGGACCGTCCCCTTCATCAAGATGTCCTGCTCTATGGCGGAGATGGCCAGGTTGCCATTGAGTAGGTACTGCCCACTGGCTGTCTTCAGTGCCAGGTAGCTGCCATCATTCCGGACCCCTGGGTGGCTCCGCTGTTTCACATCAATGTTCGTGGCACCAGCTGGGATGGTGACAATATCATTGTAGCCATAACTATGATAGAGATAGAACAACTGTTAGGGCTGGTGGCTCCCTAGCCTGGGAATTAAAATGGGTTCCCCCAGGTGCACAGACAAACAGCTCGCAAATCATAAAGCGATTGCCTCAAAGTTCTAAATAAATTAGTTGCTAAGGCAGATAGAATTGTCTTGGGTATTGGGCTCTCCATGGGTTTTTGCTTCATCTGGCGAATCTGCTGTGGCTATTGAGGCAGTTAGACACGCAGGAGAGCCTGGCAGAAAAGTGCCGGCAGGCTGGCCCCGCCTTGGTTCAAGTGAGAATTCAAATACATTTGCTATCTTGCAGCGGTAAAAGTGGGCACAGCTACCTCCAGACCCAGAGCTCAAACTCATGTGGAAAAATATGAACCCTTCACTCATGCCAGAACCCAACCAGGATAGAGGATTGACACTGCCTCTTTGAGTCAACTCTCATATAATATTTGATGACTATGGACTTGGCAAAGATGGAGGATAACGCTTGCTTCTTTACCACCTCTTGAGTGTGCCCAGACCCTGTGAGCACTATGGTTTTTGGTGATGGGATACTGTTGGGAAAAATGCTTCCAGTCCATTGTAGACATGGGACTTTATGCAGGACGCCAGAACTTAGTTCCTTGTCCTCCTGTAGGAATGTGGGTGACACAGGGTTGAGATAAACCATTGAGGAGGGCCATCCGGTGGATTCTTTGCTATTCTTTATGTCCAGCTGGGGCCAGTCGAAGGCTAGGGAAAGTGTCCAAGGCCATATGTCTAGGACCTAGGAGGAAGTGGCGAAAGCGACCCATGATCTGAATAGCTCATGCTTTTTTTTTTTTTCCCCTACTTATTTTGAGCTTAAATTTGAAAATACTTCCAAGTTGACTGCTGGGAACTGGTTCTATTTTTTGAGATCTGCACTACTATAACATATGTACATGAGAAAGAGAAGAGAGAAGAGGAGGGAGGGAGGGGTGGAGGAGAAGGGAGGGAAAGGAGAGAAGTGGGTATAGAGAAGGATGGAGCAGGCTTCACTAGGCAGAAAACTAGTTAGTAAAGAGACAAAAACTCCGAGGTACTGGGGCTGGACCGGAGGCTTGAAAGATACAAAGTCATGAATGTACTTGACCCCAGAGTGACAAAGGAAACACTTGACCTTGACCCTACCTTCCGGGACTCTCCAGGAAGTGCAAGGGACAGCAGACAACAATCACCAGGTACTTCAGGAACCTGGCCTGGCATGCAGAGATGCCCTAGGTTTAATCTCTAGCCCAGCAGGAGGAAGAAAAGAAGAAACCCACGTGTTCTTTCTGTCTCTCACCAGCTCTCAGTGTGACCTTAGAAAAGTCAACTGATCTTTTCATGTTTCAGTTCCTCAGCCCTAAGGTAGGGAATGACAGGGTTGGCCTTGCCCAGCAGAATGAAAGCACTTTGGAACACCACAGGAACGCTAATGCACGTGGGGTGCTTGGATGTGAGACGCTCTCTGAGTGCTTAGATTCCCAAGGGTGCTGAGCGCTGGTTTGTGCTCTCTTCTCTGATGAAGATCTAGTCATAGAAGGTCGCCGGCCTGAGGGTTAGATGTCCTTTCCGTAACTGGCCCAGGGGAGCTCTTTTGTGCCTGAGTCCTGTGTTACTCAGTGTTGCTCTCCTGCTGATTGACTCAGAGCTGACACATTTCTGTCCGTGTGGTTTCCAGCACTAATAAAGTAACAGCTGCCCTGGTCCCATCCTCTCCACGGCCAGATCCCATGCCATGTGCTCTATCTACACTTCCCACCTCAGGAAATCCTGACAGTGACCGTAAAAAGAGGTGACCACTGTACAGAAATGGAGACTTGAAGTACTTATAAGACCCCCTGCCCCCCACTCCCTCTACACAACTATTAACTAGCAGCTGTAATTTATACTTGAGGCCATCAGTGCCCAAAGCCCTTTATGAGATGTAGAGGCAAGAACTCTGCCTAGGTTCAACCACTAGGAGACCTACCTGAAGGGGGTGAAAGAACCGGAGACCTTTCTACAGGTAGTGCCTTTGCCCCCACACACCCCACATTTGTCCAGCTTCTTAGGTGAGTTCACCACATGGTCACAGCCAGCCTTAACACACTGCCCCCGGACGCAGATGGACAGAGTGTCCGGCCCACACAGAGTGCCATCGATCACCTGGGAAAGGGAAGGTAAGAGAGGACATGGGGCACACAGAAGCAGTCTGTAGGTGGGGGTGGTGGGGGTGTCTGTCCTCCCACCCTGTCTCAAGCCAGGAGATTCTTACCTTGGGTTCAAACACTTTGAACTCACTCCTCCCCCGGGCTCTGCAGAACAGCTTGCATCGGTCCCGGGGGGACACTCCTGAATACTTGGGGACCCACTGCAGGAGATTCCCATCCAGATCAGTATGGTTGTAGGCATTGTATTTCTCACACTGCTGCTCCCTGAAGCTTTTGCCTGAGAAGAGCAAGGAATGACATGGAAGTAGCATACCTGCTGGAGGACCCTGGCAGAGAAAGATCTGGATCCAGGGACCCTTTCTTTCTCTAGGCTTTGGACTCAACCCAAGGACACAGGCAGAACCTATTATTTCTAGACACACCTTGCGTGCTGGTGCGTGACCCTTCCTCAGAGATCCAAGGGGAGGAGCCATCCAGCCTCACACTGGGCTCCCTGGTACAAATATCCTTCCCATCTGGGCACGTATGATTGGTACAGAGCTATATTTCCAGGACTCTGCTAATTATACGTTGTTGATTTCCCTAGTAACAACGGACATGTGGCAAAGGTTCACTGACATTTCTGGTCTTGCCTCTACATCTCATTTTCTGTAATTCTGAATATCTATGGGAGAGCTCCATCTGCAGGTACTATAATTACCCCCCAATCACCATTGTCTTACTCTTCTGATAATTGGTTTGGTTTGGCACTATTATACTCCAGGATGAGACTGGCACCCCAGCATTCTGAACATGCAAGCATCTCTCTGTGCTATTTCTAATCTACCATGCCATCCTCTGCCAAATTCAGGAAAA